GAGCTTATTGAAGGAAATAGGACTTTCAGTGACTGACTATTTAGTATATCATCAACCTTGTTAGCAGTGGAGGATACGTTCCATTACGATCTGCATTGAACTCAAAAACAACACATAAGATCCATTTATTCACCTAAAATAAAAAGGCATTAAACAAAAAACAAAAAGACTCAAGCACATGAAAGCAATCACAAAGCTTAAATCTTTTTATCCAAAGGCTTAAAATCACTTTCCTTTCTCACTGTAACTTATGCTTATGTTACCAAATAGTGTTTCTCTTTACACAGAAAGTTGTTAATGAGTTCAACTTTTACAAAACAAACTATTAAAAAAAATGACATTGCACTTGAATATGATTTCTTGTGTGGCAAAGGTATTCTCTCATGTGAATTCAATGTAACATTACACTTGAATATGATTTCTTTTGGTTGTTGTGACCTCTCTATAACTCCTTATATGATAACCAAAGGTATTCTCTCATGTGAATTCAATGTGGGATAAGTCACCTTTACCTTCCAAAAACTAATTTTATGTCCATTAATCGACTAACTTCAATAATCTATTTCTCACTCACCCGAAATCATTTTTTAAGAAACTAAACACACTACGAGCATCTATTCAAAATGTAGCATACTCCTATACAATTAAATTCTACTCAAACTAAATCTTCAGACATACAAAAATCAATCAACAATGTCCCAAACTCATTTTTCAAAAACCGATTTCCTAACAAAGCAAACTCTATTCCACTTTCTAACCGAATTACTACCCTTTTTCTCCAAATAAAAATTGTTACTTTTATAGAAAGGGCATTGAACCACAACTCTTATCTACTGTACATTACATTTTACACATAACCCAATCCAGAATAATTAAAAAAAAAAAAAGTTCAAATTTTTACCTCATAAAAAGGGCAATCAACCACAGCTCTTACCTACTGTCCATTACAATTTACACATAACCCAATCCAGAATAATAATAAAAGAAAAAAAAAGTTCAATTTTTTACCTCTGGCCGGAATAAAAACCAAACCAGTCCCACCGCCAAAATCGACGCCCGGATTATAATCCTGCAGCAACCTCTCCGACAGGCCGGACTTATTTGCTATACCCGACAAGCTCTCGCCAGGCCTCAAAGGGTAAGTGGCAAAAAGCCCGTAAGCCCTCGACACGTGGCTATCCCCGCACGAGCAATTCACGGTCACATTCAGCCGAGCATCGGCCGGGATGTTTTCAGGCGGGTAGATATTGAACCTCATCAGCATTTCAACCGTCGTCAGGTTCGAGTACATTAGCTCCGCAATCCTCTGGTAGGTGTTTCCGGGCCGGACCTGGTAAACAAACTGGTGGGCCAAGAGCTGGTTCACCGGCCCGCACGAGAAGGGCACGACCAGCCTGTCGCCGGCGTTGATGAGGTCCCGGTTAGTGAGTTGGGGGTTGTAGCTGAGGATATCGTTGATGGTGGTCGAAAGGACGGAGGATATGAAGGTGAGGTTCGTGCCCTCCCATATGTAGTAGGAAGCTAACGCGTCGCAGGCACGGCCGGGCTGGGATTTGACTACGGCCCGGAATATGGTAAGCAGCAAAAGCCAGAGGGGTAAGTTGGGGTTGAGTTTTTGGGGCATTTTCATGGAGGAAAGGTGGGATTTTTTTGAGGATGAAGCTTTTTGGAATTTTGTCAAACAGGTTGTGGGCAGATGATGAGTTGACTACCTGTTTTTTTCGCTTTTCTTTAGAAATGGTCCCAAATAATAAAAAATTGTCAAAGATTGTGTGCATTTGAAAAGATTTGGTTTAATCATTTTCGTGCAGTTGACCAAATGTGGTGCCGTTGATGGAGATGAGGAGAAAAGATGTAATATTGAAAAATATTAAATAATGGATAAATTAATTATAATTATATAATCTTAATAAATGAATATAAGTAAATGAGGTTTTTAAACAAAATATGCACATGATAAGCATAAACTATAAACTGATGTGATAAAATGATCAAGGTAACATAATCACTCAAAAGCCTTTTTTTGAAAACTAGTACAGAGCTCATGCAATGCACGGGGTGCACAAGACTATTTATCCAGGCTTATAATTATATACATGAATAAAGAAAAATGTACGGGATATATATAGTACGTGATCCGTGCGAAGATATATTTATTTAAAAAATATTATATTATAAGATGCAATATTCAATAAAAGTTTATAATACGCAAGAAAATTGTACAATGTTCAATAAAAGTTTTATAATATTCAAGTGGAGTCTTAAAGTCTCCTGTACATTAAGACTACTGACAAAATAATATTTTAATCAATGAGTTTTCCTTTCCTTGTAGCCAAATTGTGAATGTGATTTGAGAAGTACAACAAATCGATATATAGCTGACTTGCTTTTTTCAGTAGTTTTTTTTTTCTCTTTTTCTTTATAATCAATTTAAAGATATTCTAAAATATAGCCAAAATTAATTTCTTTATTACAATTAGGAATTTTACTAAATATAAACTCTCAACCTATGGTGTTAATCAACGTTTAAGTCTAAAAAATTAGGAATTTTTAACTCTTTTAATCAACATTTATGTCTAAAAAACAATAGTGTTATTATAAGTTTTTTTTTCTATATCTTTTAAAACATTAAATATGAGCATGTTAGGGCTAGCTTGTAAAATAATTAATATATTATCTTACTATATTTATACTAATAAAAATTTAATTTTAGCATATAAATTTATCCCTTGATATAAGAGAAAGTAACAGTTTTACTTATTGTTGTTCATCATATAATATTTAATTATTATTTTACTATATAATAAAAAAAAATATTGTTAAATAGTGTAGTAGAATTGTTATAAAATTATATGATTTTTTTTTTACAATATGGATTTAATATTTTTTTATGATTTGATAATATAAACAAATCTATACTTAACTTTGACAAATAAAACAAATAAATACTTTAGTAAGTATTTAACGTATATACTAAATAGGAATATATTTGGTATAATCAAATACCAAATATAATCAAATAAGTCAAAATGTACATTTTTATTTGGTACTTGATTTTTTTATTATTAAAATCTTTTTATTATACTTACCTTTTTAAAATAAAATAAATAAATAAATCAATTAAATAAATAAAATATTATAATACCAAAATAGTAATGACATTTAATGCAGTTGACTTTTCTGGATAGTAAATGTAGTAAATAGAATCTCCTTTTATATAAGTATAGATTGTATAATACGGAAATAGTAATGGAATAAATGTTGTTGACTTTTCTTTGTACTAAATTTGGTAAATGGTATACCTTTTAATATAAGTATAGATTACAAAATTTTAGCATATGTTGTTGTATTCGATTTTTTTTTTTTTTCATACTTACAATATGATACAATATAAGTAGAGAAATTCAAACACATATTTCAACTTAATAAATATTCAATTGATTACTTTCTTAACTAGGAGTATCCAACAAATGAAAATGAAATTAGTCACATATCAATCATCAAACTAGGATATAAAATTTCAAAATACATAAATTTAGCTTTCTGTATTTAGTATACAATTTTTGATAGAAAAACTTGCATACTTATTTTTTCAGTCATTCACTACTCTTTTATTGAATTAACATATTTGATCATTGATTATAGATATTTTATATATAGGTCTTGTTCAACAATTATAAACGACAGTTGGTTCAATTAGCTAACAACATATTGGATTTGTTGATTAGGCAAAGTATTTAGTAAATAATTAAAATTGCAATTATCTGCACATATATTTAGCTTTCTCAAAATTAGCATTTAATATCAAAACAGGAATTTTCGATTTGGTACATACCAAATAATAAAATTACGCGAGGACATATAGTTTACCATTAAACCTCAAGTTTGGCCCCAAGAATATTAATTACCAAAAAATGTATAAATTATCAAACAATATCATATATATATATATATATATATATATATATATATACACACACTAGTGGTCTACCGGCTTTGTGGCCTATATCTAGTCGTTAAATTTAATCTTTTATGGATAGAATTTGTCCACCATTTAAATTATCATTTTCATTGTCTTCAAATTGTTGAAATGAAGCTAGGTATTTTTATAATGGATGGTTACTTGTCCAAATGAATTAATAATTTTCAATGCGGAAATGTAATGTATAGTCCGAAGGGCACCATTTACTTTTGTATTATGTAATTGTGCAAAGACGGGTAGACTTGCATATCCTTTGAGTTGAGGATGTTGGTGTTTTTACTTTTATATTATGTAATTGTGCAAAGACGAGTAGACTTGTATATACTTTGGTATGAGGATGTTGGTGTTTGATACACTATTTGTATGTTGTTGTAATGGTGTTCTTATTTTTTTTGTGTTGTGTATCTCATTTGGTAAATAATTTTTAGCTGATTTATCGAATATGTAGGATTTTGTTTATTATTAATTTTAAACTTTCGTTTTGAAAGTGTATTTTATTTTTGGTTGTTATTGTCATGGTTTGTAAATTATTCAATTCTAGCAAATAGGAAAAAATATTTGAAGTTAGCTGATTTTCAAATATACATGAGGAGGTAGTGCTACCAGACATTCAAAGATTCATAAGGTGCTTGTAGATAGAAGAAGCAAATGAGTGGAAATATGAAATTATCAAGGTTATCATTTTTGGAATACATGTCAAAGCAGCATCGACCACTTCATTTCAAACAAAAATAGAGTTTATATTACCAAGCATGTGAAGATAGTACTTTGTAATAAGATTGAGGATTGTTTTTTCGTAAATTCTTTGATGTTTTTCATCGAACATGGGCTTACTAATAGTATAAATATAAATTATATTATTGATGAATTTTATTATATAAAAGCTCGTCGAGCACAACTTCAGTGAATCATTAAAGAAGAAATATTATGTCATTGTTATTAAATATTTTTTTATAATTATAACACATTCTTATATTAATATCTAAATTTGTCCCTGCATGAAATGCTATAACTTTTAAACTAAAGAGAAAAGGACATCCACTTTTATTTAGTTCGAAGGTCATAAAATAAAATGATTAAAATCTATCACGCTTCCAAAAAGTTCTTTCTTTTTGTCTTTTGTCTCGTGACCAAAAAGCCCCATTATTGTGAAAGACATTTCCAGTCAAACAATCCAAAATTTCGGTCTATCAGATCCAAATCGGCCCAGGTGTCGGTGAATCTGAATTTCATAAATATCCTGCAGGGGCATTTTCGTCCATTAAGTTAAAAAATTATAGAACAGTAATTGGATATACTACCTCTTTTTGTTTTATAAATGTCATTTTGACTGTATCAACAATTAATCAAATAAATGACATTTTGGATTTTTTTACATATTCTTCCATTATTATTCTTATCTAACTAATACGTTTTTTCATATTCACTCTTCATCTTTTCTCAAAACATCCATCTTTATCCTCATTAATTAATGAATGTTATTATTGACAAAAAAATATTCTTAATTACTATAAAATTCTCAAAATGACACTTATTAAAAATATGAGTGAGTATTAATTATCCATAATTATAGTTCCTCGTGTTTCAAAATATTTTTTACTTAATCGTTTTCTAGGTTATGTTTGTAAGTTTATAAAGTTAGTTATTTTGAGCTCATAGCTTGCCACAAATACTTTAAATACTATTTGTTATAATAAAAATATTTGATAAAATTAATTGATAAATTAACTGAAATAAAAAACTTATTGAGCATTTTTAAACCAACCTCCACAAAAAGTTGAGATACTCGATTATTAAAAACATGTTTATCTTATCAAACAAAATTTCTCTAAATACATAAAATGAATAAACTAATTAAACAATCTATATGTTGTCTTACCAAACATAGTTTTAAATACATAAAATGGATAAACTAATTAAACAATCTATATGTTATCTTATAATGGTTAACAACCATAGTTTTAAATCGTTGAATCAATTATGATTTTGAAGAAGTCAATTGGAGTTTCAGTATTCATTTTGGACCTAATCCCAATTTAACATTTGGACTCTCAAATTTTGCATTTTTTTAACTAGGCTTGCTTAATTCATTTTACTATTTATTTTTTTCTACAACATAATTGTCACACATATCAATACATCAATCAATGGATATGCTAGCTCTACAGAATTTGCGAGTTCCAATTTAAAGATCATCTAAGCTTTATAAAATTTGTGAGTGTCAATTAATGGATTTGCTAGTTCTACAGAATTTCATTTGTTAGTAAGTTTAACATAATGTTTAACCAATATTATGATCACACTAAATTATTAACTAGTTTGATTATCTAGAAGGTCTCTACAAAGCAATCTAATCTAATTCATAATCTTCAAAATTGAAAGTTCTCTAAGCTTTACTAGCTTAGCAATTTTGTCCCAACCATATTAATATCACATATAAGATAATTGTAATAATAAAAGGAAATAAACATTATAATGTGAGACAACTTAATAATTAGGCAGGTCGATCCATCTTATTTTTAAGAACAAGTACTTATTTATAATGTTAAATGCCATACGTTTTTTTTATAGTTATAAAAAAATGTATTATTATTTTTATTCCATGAACTAAGTGCATATACATATACTAATTTAAGTTTTATTTAATAAAAAAATAAAATGAGACCACGTCATAACAAAACCTTTTACTTTTGGGCCTTTTGAAATTTTCCACATAATTGGTGATGATTATATGCTAAAGTCTAAACCCCACATTAAACACATTTCCCCGACACATTTGTTCATTTATTAATTCATTTTATTTATTTATTATTTGTATTTCCTCCTTTTCTCTCTCTCCACTCCACACTGTGAAAGCTTCGAATCTCAGAGCAGAGCTTTTGGCGATGGCGACGTCTACAATGGCGCCTTTTCCTTCTCAACACCCTTTCACAAGTCTCGTATAGGCTAATAATCGCTTGTTCAAGGGACCAGCTAAGGCTCACTGGTACCCACCGTGTATCTCGGCGATGGAGGGCCGTGCAGCGGCCGGTTATTCTCTGTTATTCACGGAGCTTGCTGTGATCGCGGCGGTGATCGTCGGTTTGTGTGCGGCGGTTGATGCTTCTACTGACCCTAATGACGGTGANTTTTTTTTTTTTTGTGTTTCTCTTGGATTTTGAATATTTTATGCATGTTTTTTGGCTGTTATTTTTTAGATTTTATTGGTCAGCTGCTAGGCGTTGAAGAGAAAACTAGATTCGTTAATACATGATTAGCTAAAGGCTCATAATTGTTGTTTTAACTGTTCTAAATAAAAATATCACGGCAAAATCTGGTTTGATTTATTTCGGATTTTTCCTTGTGGGTGCTGAGTGAAAATGGATTGGGGAAGTTAGTGGAGCAATGCTAGTGGAAGTATTTTGGGTAAAAATAACTTAATCTTATAGCCATTTCTGGAGTATTTAGTTTGGTGAGGAAGTGTGGAGAAAATATCATCACCCGTTTGTTTCCCAGCTATTAATGCTTGATATGTATAAGTTTTATTTTGTTATACATTCTTTTCATCTCCTTGTTTACGGATGGCAAGAATATTATAGATTACGTATATACTTTATCCGATTTTCTTTCCTTCGTGTAATATGCAATAGAAAATTATTGTATCATAATCCTGTTTCCCGAATATGCAAGTTGGTCTCTGTTCTTGTTTGATGTAGGCTTCACTGATGTTGGAATTGTTAATTTCAGCTTATATGTAATACAATAAGTGAATCTCAGAAATCACAGTAATTACTTTACAAGAAAATCTATTGCCCGAAGATGAGTGCAAAATAGGTGTGTTTTTATGTTGCCTCTTGCCTCATGATAATGATGTGCATAAGTGCATTTGTGATTGCTTGTCACTTGATAGCGATGTACATTCGTGACTTGAATACTGGATTGACTCTGCCTTAGAAGATGTTCGACTGAGTCTCTAGTTGTACTCACTCTCTGCAGTTCAAGGGCTCCAGGTATTGTACACTTCATTAAATAGTCCTCCACAGCTAACGGGCTGGAAATCAAGTAGTGGTGATCCGTGTGGCGAGTCGTGGAGGGGAATCACCTGTCAAGGTTCTTCTGTTGTCTCTATGTAAGTGTTACATCCTGGATATTTTTTAATTACTAAATTATATATTTTTTTTTAATATCACTTGGGTGGAGGGCTGAATCAGCCTTATTTTCAGACTCATGCGAATTTTTCTTGAGACAGCCAGTTATCTGGAATGGGGCTCAATGGAACAATGGGATACTTGCTCGCCAACCTTGCATCACTCGAAACATTGTAAGAAACCAGATTATTCAGTGTGATTGATGGTCATGTTTCTTTACGTTCTTCCTTTTTAATGTATTCTTGGTTACATTTTTTTTTGTGCTGCAGAGACTTGAGTAACAACAATATTCACGATTCGATTCCGTATCAATTGCCACCAAAACTCACAAGCTTGTAATTTTTGGTTTATATCGACTCTCAATTTTTCATGTTAGCGAGCACCTGTTCTTTGAGTAATAAGCTTTCTTATGTTCTTGCTATCTGGTTACAGAAACGTTGCAGGAAACAATTTAAGTGGGAATATTCCTTATTCTTTGTCTAATATGAACGCCCTTAATTACCTGTAAGTGGCATTTTTGCCTTAGCATATTAAAGAACTCTTTCTGTCTTCCTTTCTAAAGGTGGGTTGGCGCTTTTTCTGATGCCTTGACCTACTATTCATATTTTAGGAATATTAGCCGAAACATGTTGTCTCAGTCAGTTGGAGATATGTTTTCCAGCCATTCTGCATTAGCCACCTTGTGAGCCTCTCTCTCTCTCTCTCTCTCTCTCTCTCTCTCTCTCCCTCTCTCTCATCTCATCTCTCTCTCTCTCATTTTGCATGCGTGACTAATATTAAGCATTTTAGGGATATATCCTTCAACAATTTTGCTGGGGATCTCCCGCCCTCCTTTATGTCATTGACTAATCTCTCAACCCTGTGAGTTTGACAACCATTACTTGTTCAAGCATTTTAATTGTCTTCATGTTTTTCCCCTTTTCTGTCATTTTCCTTGCTATTGACCTCATTTATATCTATGTTTGCAGTCTAGTTCAGAACAATCAACTTACGGGTTCTCTCAATGGCCTCGTAGGTTTGCCTCTGACGACTTTGTAAGCATTACCTCCACAGTTGGTTCTTTTTAACTAAACCAATGATACGAAAAGGCTAATGCTATTAACTGCATCACATATATTACATACTCTCACTTGTGCCAAATTCTGCAGAAATGTAGCGAACAATCATTTCAGCGGCTGGATACCACAAGAACTAGTTTCAATCCCGAACTTCGTGTAAGTTATAACAGTTTTCACAAGGTGATAAAAAGAAGAATAACTTCATATTTCTGATAATCTTGCTTTTTAACAAAACTTTTCACATTTTTTTTCCCGTAGACCAGATACAATGGGAATGAATTTTCCAATGGTCCTGCCCCACCTTACACTGCTCCTCCTCCAGGTAGATCTCGCAATAACGGGACACAATCTCCTCCTTTTGGCCATAGTCCAAACACTGATATCCCAAGCAATACACATAGAGAGCATAAAAATAGGTTGACAGCAGGAGCTATAGTGGGGATAGCTATTGGGTGTGGAGTTGGAGTGATATTGTTGCTGCTTTTGCTTGTGTTTTGCCTTAGGAAGGGTAACAAGAAGGAAGTTGTGGCACGACTCTCAACAGGAAGTCAACCTGCCAGTGTTGGTAATGGTAGCACCTCTTTGTACTTCACATATCCAAGAGATTCACATATATTTATGTGCGATTGCTCTCTTGATGCTCAACATTGCTTTTTGGCTTATCAGACAAATCCTGTATTTGTACTATATGCTCCAGATCAAGAATAGAAGTAATATATTAATTTGTAGTTTTGAATGCTTTGAATGATGATGGGTATGAGTGTTATGAGTCAACATGAAATGACTGATGGTTTGAAGAGTTCAGATTTTGCTAGAGAAGTCTGTATATTGTTTTTGAGTCCTCTCATAAAAAGGATATATATCTAGTCAGAACACACTACTTTCTTTTGTATGACCTCAAGGAACTTGTCAAGTATTCATTTTTGAGTTGCCAATTTATTCATTCTCATCTCTTTCTCACACTGTGAAATGTTTCTAGTGAGTATGGGGATGCAAGAGCAAAGGTCAAAGCCTTCACTTAATACATCTGACTTAAAATCTCCACCAGCTGAAAGTGTTACAGTTGAAAGGTTACAAGGGAAAAGTGGATCTTTGAGAAGAGTGAAACCTCCACTAACTGCTCCTTCCTACACAGTTGTTGCACTTCAAACTGCAACAAATAGCTTTAGCCAAGAGAATCTGGTCGGTGAAGGCTCTCTCGGTCGTGTCTATAGAGCCGAATTCCCCAGTGGAAAGGTAAAAAAGGTCTCTTGGTTCTGTTTTCGTCTCTTAGCCAGGCCGGGGAATTCTCAATTTCATTGCATAACACCTGCTTTAATTTTTGCGCCTAGAATCCGCAATTTCATTGTCTTCTGGTTTCGTTTGCAGCTTTTAACCGATCCTCACCCTTGATATTTTCATTAGCCCTATTTTTTGATTACACAACATCATGACTATTAAGTTGCAAAAAAGAAAAAAAAAAAAAAAATTAGGATGAGTTTATCCTCATTATACTTGCCATGTTTTGCTGGATTCAGATAATGGCCATCAAGAAAGTCGACAATGCGGCATTGTCACTGCAGGACGAGGATGATTTTCTCAAAGCCGTTTCCAACATGTCACGCCTGAGGCATCCAAATATTGTGGCCCTGATCGGGTACTGTGCCGAGCACGGACAGCGTCTTCTGGTTCATGATTATGTGGGTAACGCCAGCTTGCACGATATGCTTCACTTTGCTGACGAGAGAAGCAGGATGCTGACCTGGAACGTGCGGGTCAGGGTGGCACTCGGGACTGCTCGAGCTTTGGAGTAAGTTGAGTGGAATGAGTTTTAAACGTGTAAAAAAACCATAGAACAATCTCATTTCTCTGCATTTATCTGTTAACTTTTTTTCTTTTGTTTTAGGTACTTGCATGAAGTGTGTTTGCCGCCAGTTGTGCATAGAAACTTAAAGTCGGCCAACATTTTACTGGATGAAGAGCTCAATCCTCACCTTTCAGATTGTGGATTAGCTGCTATGAAACCGAACACAGAACGACAGGTAAATCTGAGGGAGGTGCAAATTCCATACAGCAAGTTTAAGGGTGATTATTATTAGTTATTACCATCCTTGAGTTTAGCCTCTTTACAGATCATCACAGATATCAACCAAAATTGTGAATACCCCATGAAACATGTTCCTACATTGAGGGGCGTAGTTTGTAAAACAAATATGCAATGCCAAAGGGTTATTTTGTAATGCCTCTAGGGCCTAGGGGCCATATTTTCTTCAAAAGATCTCTTGATTCATATGTAATTACGACAAATTTCCTTTGGCCACTTATCATGGAGATTTATACCAGTATTATAATTAGTTTTGGATGGGAATATGTCGCTTTGCGCAATTCTATAATTATAGAGGTAAAGAAATGCATAATTGGGAGCTTAAATTTCAAAAGTTATGATAAAAATTTCCTGATAACGATGACAGGTCTCGTCCACCCAGATGATAGGCTCATTTGGTTACAGTGCACCTGAATTTGCCTTGTCCGGAATGTATACTGTCAAAAGCGATGTATACAGCTTTGGTGTAGTTATGCTCGAGCTTCTAACGGGACGAAAGCCTCTTGATAGGTAGCTATACTGTCAAATGCATATGAATATTTTTCACATTTTCGCCTTTTTTTCCCGTGTTAAAAAAATACGCCCAACTTTTGTCCAGTTCAAGAGTGAGATCAGAACAGTCGCTCGTGAGATGGGCAACTCCTCAGCTCCATGATATCGATGCTCTATCGAAGATGGTGGACCCCAACTTAAATGGCATGTACCCTGCAAAGTCTGAGTCGATTTGCTGACATCATCGCTCTTTGTGTCCAGGTAAAGTTCTTCACAAACAATTTTTCAGATTTGTTTCTTTTACGCGACACATTTTAGGCATTCTTTTTTAATGCAGCCCGAACCCGAATTCCGGCCCCCCATGTCCGAGGTAGCACAAGCACTTGTCCGGTTGATGCAAAGGGCAAGCATCGTGAAAAAACGGTCGAGTGATGAATCGGGTTTTGTGCTTCGAACTCCCGACCCAGAACCAAGTGACATGTTATGACACTACATGTATTGTTATACACGTACGCCTTTTGACATTTTCGAGACAATTGCGTGAAGATTGAAGGTAATAATGGCCTAGAGGGGCAAGAGATCTCCAAAATTAGTAAATGAGATATGCAGTTGGGGACTGGCAATTGGTTCTATTTATTTTTTCATATATTATCATTTATAATGTATGACAAATTACAAAATGAAAATGAAGATGAGTTGCTTGTGCATTGATTCCATCATGTTATTTATAAGCGCTGGCCACAAAAGCAAAAATCTGCATCCTTGTGCTCATTTAGTCTTAAAATATGGAAGCAAGCAAGCAATCATCATACTCAGTTGAAAAATGGCAGAAAATCTGAATTAGTTACTCATAATCTTCGCTTTCAGCAGTCACAACAGGAAGCTAATCAAACGGCCAATTCAATCTCTTCACGAAACTCAGCCATACACGAATTTTTGCATTCACAAAACCTCCAAATCACTTGAAGTCTAATTTTTTTTATAAACAGTCGCTAGTCTAAACGGACCACCACTTCAATCCCCTGCCTCTGTACAACAGCCCAATACACTCCTGGTACACATTCTGCAATTCTCGAAAATGGGTTGGATCAAATTACTTCCTCCGGCGCTTGTGGGCTGCCTGCAAGACGATGAAAATTGAAAAAACGGGCAATGAAAATATGGGAGAGATAAGTAAAACTGGATGGAGCAAAATGACCAAGATAGCCTTACTCTGCCACTTGAGAGTCCAGGATTCTTTGTTTCCTCGTCAGATCCATGTTCAGAGCAAACAAAATGATCCAACTGTTTTGCTTGCTCTATGGTCAAATCCACACAAGCAGGATGATACCTACAAAAAACTCACACCACAAGTGAACTATTAAGGCCATTAATCGTAATTAGTGGTCAGATTTTATTGTTTTTAAGGCCAATAATCTAATGGAGAGGGATATGGCTACTGAAAGTAACTTTTCAACATTTGTTATTTGTATGTACTTCACTTATGATTCGACATATACAGCCTTGTTTTGTTTTTCACATTCAACCAAACAGAACGAGCTCCCCACCTATCAGAGCTTAGTTTAAGAAAGACTGAACAAAGAAAGCATAATGGCCCCGGATGTAGAAACAATAACGACTTAAAAAAAATGTTCGATTACTTTAGGAAACCCAAAATCAAGTAACCACACAAGTGTCTTCAATTGCGGAAGCCTAAATTCTCCTTGACCAAGAAAAAGATGTTGCTTTTGCATGATCTGACGATAAAAGATTTGCCAAGAAAATTATACAGAGAAAAAAAAAATAAATAAATAAAAATCAAACGCCGTACTATGTTCACTCTTAGGCAAAACTCATTATAAATTACCTCCATGTCCATGACTATAACATGCAGGATCATCTTCTCAAATTTAGAAACACAAGATACAAAAAGATAAATGAAATCTGATAAACAAGGAAGCCTTTTCAGTTTCACTTACCAGTCTTTGCATTCTTCACACTGAATCATCAGATCATCTGGATTATAAGGCATTTCACATTTGCAGTACCTAACCAAATCACAAGAAACGTCATTTACTATTGGCTGAACACACAAAGGTAAAAAGTGCACACAATAAAATTAACGCCAATAGAACACTCACACCGCCACTCGATCTGGAAGGAAATTTCCAGAAGCGGGTTTGTACTCAAAACGGCAGTAGTAATCATCGGGACCCACATTCTCCAGCTTGGTGTAATTTTTGAACGAGTGCACGATGCACTTTCCCTCAATGGTGTGAGCACTCTGAATGTCATAATGATCAGACAAGAACAATTCCTTAGCTCCATGGAACTGTCTCCTTCCTCCAGCAGCCTCCTCTGGTCTATAGTACCATCTCACCCGAACTTTCACACTGTTACGGTTATCAGTCTCGATTTTCTCGATACGCGCCACATAAGGGGCTGAGTCATGTTCCGATGGTCTCATCAATACACAATCCCCAGCTTCAATCCAGACAAACCCAATCAGCAAACAGAACTCAATCAACGTTTGACCAGTACAGACTCATGACCCATTTCCCAAAAATCAATTAAAAAAATCATAAACAAGTAATTTGAACTATTCTCTTCAACAATAAAGATTGGTGGGATAGACAAATCGAAANNAAAACATACATCATTTGCAGGCCTCTCACATAAAGCTAACTTTCTGGAATCTCCCAGGTCATGAGAGAACAGCAACATCAATATATACAGAGAAGCTCTCTTTTTAACAACCCGAGTACCCTAATCATTTCTACCAACAACCCACATTTTATCACAAAAAAGGAGAGAATAAAAGAAAATAAAAAGGTATACTTTAGCACATAGCAACATGCATGCACACACTACGAGCTCTCCCTGTGCATTGCCATCAAAGCAAGCAACCAAGTCAACAAAACCCATTTTCGGTGCTCAACTCTCAACAAAACAGCTTCAGATTCTCTTCAATGGGGGTAACAAACAACTCATTCATAGAAGAAATTTTTTTACCTCGAACAACTTTGTTGGTACCTCTGATGGTGTAAGAATCAACGTCCCTTGTACCTGGGCCATGCCTCGTTTTCGCCATGGACGATCGAACGAAACCAGAATGTGCTCGAGCGATGGCAAGAAAAAATTACTTTTCCAGAAATAAATGTTTCACAAAAAAATGGTTCACAAATTTTCGCTTCAAAATGAAAAAAACGCAGACATTTGAGGGCTATCTTTGAGGATCTGCAAACTCTAGGATTTTGGGGCAGATTTTCGCGAAGGGACAAACCCTAGAGCTGCTCCGTTTTTACTCATTTTTGGACTTAGGCTGGCTGGGTGGCTGGCGAGCTATTTATGTGGAATTTAGCCGCGTTTTTATTCAATATGAAAATTAAAATTTTCACAAATTATTTTACGGTCATCCCGTCATATTTTTTAAATAAATTATATAGTATTATATGTTAGTAATTCAACTCTAAAGTATACGTATTTGTTGAAAAAACAATAATTATATAATTATTAATTTAACTAACAAAACTCCTACTATTATTTTAGTATAATAATGTAACTCTTGTTTTTCGTTACATATTTATCCTTCTTTATTTTTATTTATTTTTAAATTTCTCTTCTTGCTTAAATATACAAATTATTATTATGTAATTCCATAATTCAATTATATTAGTAATAGTCATTGAAATAGTTAAATGAAGTCAACTTATTCTCCAACCAGTTCTGATTTATATTTGTTATTTAGCTTTCTTAAACATAAAAAGTAATCTAATACTTTCCACTACAAATCTAATTATAATTTATAACACACTATTATGTACTTCAATGAATTTAAGTTTTACATTTAAGGAAAGGAATTTTTGGAGCTTTGACTTTTTCTTTTTAATAAAAAGTATTTCCTCATTTTATTTGTGTGATTCTTAAAATATTGCTCAAACTTTATTTATAAAATTGGGTTGTAATTTTATTTTGAATTTCACTGCTTTAGTTATAGCTACATTATGGATTTTTTATCAACTCAAACAAAATTAAAAAAAACCAAAGAAAATATTTAACATATTTAGCCCAATACCTTCTAAAGTTTAAGATCGATCCTATTTAAGTTCACAAAGTGTGCTAAGTTCACGACTCTATTATAGTTAGTTGGAGCTCGAAAATCTAGTATTTCACTTATTGAGATGATTATCGAAAGTTTAGTCCTTAGAAATAAAATTTGGTCCCCAGAAATTCAATCTCAATATAATTTATTCATGATTGAGAATGGTTAATTTATATTGCGCATCAGAAAGTAACAAAATTTCACAAAAATGAGGAAGAAGACGAAAAAGATTACATCTTGACTAATTGCATGAAATCAGTACACTGGTTGTTAGCAAGCTCATTTCTGGGCCCACCAGGTTTTAAGGGGAATAAAATTAC